GCTCGGGCTCGCGCTCTGCTTTATCTATACCCACGCCCTCCGAAAATTACCGACACTCTTGCCCTCGCGACCTGTTTGATTCACAGGTACACCCGCAAAATTAGTTCCGCCAGTTCCGCTAGGAAATTTCGCGGTTGAAGGTTCGCCATTGGCGTTAGCAATCTCCCCTATAATCTCTGCTGCTAAATGGCAGCAGCAATCAGGTGACTGGTAGTTGGCACCACATAATTGAAAATTCATTAGTTCTTTTATTTAGATCAATAGTAGGACCTTTGTACATCATTGCAATACAATTGAAGAATTTTGTAGCCCCTTCATTATTTTTTAATTAATTAAACAAAATAATGATGGGAAGTTAGCACCCCACCCACTAATTTTTATTTGTAGACTGAAATAAAATTAACAAATGGAAAGCAAATCGTTTGTAGATAATAGATAAATTGGTATCATCCTTCTACACCTGATTGTTCATTATATATTAATTAAATTAAAAAATGGTCTACAGTATTAACATCGGCGCATGCGCAGACACGTACCCTCGCACAGTTTGGCACCATGCACTTGGAAGCAATATCGTTCTTTAATTAACTTTTCAAACTTTTTTCTTGGTAAATATTTAGGTAGTAAATTGGTGGAATTTAGGAGAACATGATTAGGATTTGGGAGTAATTAGTTTTCAGTTATTATTTTTTCTTTTTTGTCAATACTATTGAGCAGAAGCTATTCTTCAAAAAATCAAAAATAATTGAAATCGATAGAGAATAATTTGGTAGTGATTATAATCATGGTTTCATAATTTAGGAGTTGATGGTTTTATTTCTAAAAGTTAAAAACGTGATTTTTTTTCCATACATTATATATTATATAGTTAGAACGCATGCGCAGTAGGCGTAAGGTAAGCGAATTAACTTTATTGGCCGATTATACATTTGCGTATGCGCAGTCACACCTTCCTGTCTTCGCCATCAGCTGATCATGTACTGTTTTGGAGTACGCAGAATACTCCAAAAAAATTATTATCTTTGTATCTACTCTTTTCTTAATAATTTCAACCACTAAGCTGATAAAAAATCATCTCGTAACTCAGGTATGTGTCAATATATTACTTACACCAATAGGACTAATAGCTATGATTTTATATAGTGATATAAATTACATTATTGAATTCCTTTTGATAGCGTAGAGGCAAATAAGACAAAATGGACACGTTTTTCCAAAACGGTATGTGTATTAGAAAATAATATCATCCCGTGTTTTTTTCAGACGATCGAATGACTCTTTGAAGTGACAAACGCGTTGGAAAAAGTTATTTAATTATTACCATCTTAAAACTGATGATTCCGAAAACATCTTTTTTTTTATGCTGAGTGGTCTAATAAATTTCGGATAAATAATCAAGTGCAGACACACCCAAATAAAATTTTCAAACTCTATCCGAACATGTAATCAATTATCGGCAAATTCTTTGTAAAATTTGTGCTCTTGTATTATTGGGGAGTTCTACTAGTGAGCATATCGATTCACTGAATGCTGAAATATATTTGATTTATCTATTTCAATAGAAAATAAAACAAATAAAACTATTAAAGGTCTCAAAAAATGTCCTATATTTTTTTAGTGGGAATGATAAGAATAGCATTCTTGCAAAATAAAGTCCATTAAGCCAAGATAAGGGAGGGCTAAAAGAGTCCCTTTTGATTGGTTTTGTAACTCAGAAACAAATTCATTAATTGAGATCAGTCTATGCTCGTTTTAAAGGGAAAGGAGTATGGTATACATGACAAAA